GAGAATCTTGATGGATTTGCTCGGTATTTGCAAGGACGAGCAGATATCGAGATGTAACGTCGAGCAACAATGGATCTCTACTTCCGTGCTATCGTATCCCTTAATGCGTTTCGATTAATATCAGTTGCTCGAGAAAGGTTGCTTCATCCTTTGAGTGAGCGATCACGATTGTTGGAGTTTTTAACGAATTTTATAAAATTTCGAGTAAATTTTAGGTTCGAGTGCTGTAAGAAATTTCAGAATTTTGAGAAATTTTCATCATATCGTATGAATATTTCATATAAATTTATAATCTGATTTGTTCCATTCAATTAATATTAATTTTCGAATAATTCTATTTAATATAATAATTTGAAATTAATTTTTGATCTACATGTTAACATTTGAATTAATTAATATATATACATAAAATATATTTTGTATCGATATGAAGATTATTTATTTTTGTTTAAGAGAGAAACAAATGCAATTGGTATACTTCAAACGATCAAATCGATTGTGAAAAAAATGAAGGAAGAAATTACAACATTTCGTGATCGTTTATGCAGATAAAAATTTGAATAATTCCAAATAAATTTACAATAAAATATTCTCCATTTATTTTTATTTTTATCTTCATTCTTTTATTAGAAACGAAAATTTATTTTTTCTTCTATCAGAAAATACGCGTAAATCCATAAATTTTTCCATTAGCTTTCAATGAAATGAATATAAGAATAAATCATAGTTAGAATTGCACTGTTATTCCAATTTAACGAGGAAACGTTCATATTTTCCTAGAAATACTGCATCACGTTAAAATTATTATTATTGTTGTGACGAACAAGTTTGAAAAAACAAAAAATTTTGTTATTATTTCTAAATGGAGGTTAAAAATTTTTTATACGAATCATGTTTTCAACTTTCTATATCGTAATTGTTTTCGCTTGGAAGCAAAGTGCCCGGTTAATTAACGAAATTAAATCGTCACTATAAACGAGCTCATTGTTCCAATTCCCTGCTGGTTTTCGCAACAGGAAAAAAAAAAAAAAAAGAAGAAAAGAAAG